GGCCAGGGATGCCAAAGGCGTCGTCTTCTAGGAAATAAACCACCGGCTCTTCCTTGACGGGCATCACGGCGGCGTGTAAATCCATGTTCGAATTCCAAGTTTAGTGCGGGGAATCGGAGTTTATGGGTGGTGAGGGGCGGGGGCGGGGGGGTATTTATGGAAGAAAGGGGCGGTGGCGGTGTTGGGGAGTGCAGAGATGGCTAATTATGGAAAAGAAATGTGGAATGGACCGTTTTCTTTCCGGCTGCCATTTGTAGTTCTCATCCTCACACTTCATCCACCCCCTCGACTTTTGTCTATTTCCTTTTCTCACCCCCCCCCGTCTGCTCCCCGGTCCAACGCTTAAACCGGACAGATGTTGAAGCCACGACTCTAAGGAGTGAGTAAATTAATTCCGAGATAATTTCGAAATTTGAAGTCTGAATTTGTGACTTGTTTTTGGGAGGTGTTTGGTGGTGTGTTTGAGAACCATTTATATCTACCCCATTATGGCTACATTCATTTTGTTTATAGGTAAATGGACAATTTTATCCTTAAAAACACATGAATGAATATTACTCCCTCTGTATCCCATTATGGCTACATCCACTTTATTTATAGTTAGTCAACTTTTAAAGTTAAATTTGCCCATTTTACAAAAATGGAGTGAATTTTTCTATTATGGAAGTGGATATAGCAACACCTTTTTTGATATTCTATTTTATGAAAATATGGTTCTAACTTTAAGTGTTTGCAAATTTGTTTAAGCATATAATTTATAAGTTTAGAAGTGTAAATAAACCTCTGGAAGTACTTTTCAGCAAAACTAACAGTAATTACTTTTGATTTCTGATTTAACACTCTTGTTTTCTCAAGAATTCACCATATTTTCAAACGCTCTCGTATCTTCATGTTGTACTATATGGCACTATCCCATTTTTAAAATAAATGGTGGAAAATTAAAATGATAAAAAATCGATAAAATTCTGACTTCTAATCTTTGCTATCAATTTGACCACTAGTATTCTGTCACCTCACTTCTAGATTGGGTTATAGTCCCGCATATTTCTTCGTAGGATTTAGATAGGCAGTTTTTCGATAAATGAATTTAACTTATGTATTTACTTGAATATATTTAGGTGAGTGCAACACATCTAGCACTTGATTTATAAGTCCTCACCAAATTTGCTGAAAGAAGAAAAAAATCCCCACAACATTTTAGGGAATAAACACATTTTTTTAGAGAAATCAATTGAGTATGCCAATAGAAAAGATTACGCAGCAGCTGCAAAAAAAGAAAAAAGAAAAAAAAAGATTGAAAGAAAAGAAGCAGAGGTTAGGCTTAGGTATAAACCGGCTTAGGTATAAACCCTTCTGTCGTCTACGACAATTGTTGCCTGGCATCATCATTATCGTCGTCATAGACATCAGCTGCAAAGAAAATGGCGGTTAGGTTGAGATTGTCGAGGTTCGGATGCAAGAACAAACCCTTCTACAGAGTGATGGCCGCCGACAGTAGATCTCCCAGAGACGGCAAGCATTTGGAGGTCCTCGGCTACTACAATCCCTTACCCGGTAAGCGCCTCTCGTTTTCGCCGTCAATTACTGCCGGAAATTCACGAACAAGGAAAAAAAAGTGTCACCTTTTCTGTTTCTTGAAACTCGTTTGTTTGATTGTTGCATATTCGGTTTGGTTTCTTGAGACATGTCAAGTGTTTTCTCTATTGGCTTGGTTTTTGTTCTGATTCTGTCAAAATTAACTTGAAATGGATCAAGACATTCAGGGTTGTGCTTTCCTAATTGAATTTTCCAATTACTCTATATTTGATTGATGAGAAGCAATAGAGGTATTGATGTCACAACTGACAATGTTATTGAAATCTCCAGTACTTCATTGTTCATCCTTTCTCACATAACTGAAGTTTATGTCGTTTTTGGGAGAAGGAACTGAAAACCATTACTCTGTAGAATTTAGACTAATAATGGCAATTTTCTTTTTTCTACATTTTTTTGCTCAAAAGGCAACATTCGTAACTTATCGAATATTGGGTTTTTCGGTTTTAATCAGGCCAATAAGCTTCCTATCAAAGTGTTTATTACAAAATGTTTGTCAAATCGATGTCTTAGCTAGTTAGCTTTGCCAAATAATCAGTCACTTAATTACACGCTCTCTAAGTCTGAGTAATAGTATCCGCAGTCTGGCTCAGTAGCTGACAACCCTTCTAATGGTATACTGAGTTATCCATCCTCCTTTCACATTGGTTTATCACTTTATCCAATGAGCTTAAGTGTCAACTTCAAATCACACTCTAACACACAAAAAAATCACACTCAACACGGTCATCTTCGTAAAACAATTATCTTTGCACAGTCCTGATCCAACTTGAATGGCTGCTAACTCAGCTTGGATCCCCTTCAGTTTTCCCACAGAAATCATGCATGGAGATATCCAGAAATTGATCATTAATATATCACTTAAGCTATATAAAAAATGACTTAAGATCAGCGGATCCACATTTGAGTGTTTCTGCACTGCAATTCAATTTAGAAGATAGCCATTCTTAGTTCACCAGAATCATCTCTAGTTTTTCTCATGTATATTCATGATGCTAAGTAAGTTTACCACCCCATAAGAATTTCAGCTAATTAGGCTTACAAATAAGTTATTCCAAAATGAACCATTAAAACTTGATGGAAGTGATTAGACAGAACTTTTAACTTTAGGATGTTTTAGAGGATATGACCTTAGAATCTTAGATAGGAGCATTTGGAGGTCTAGGCTTAGGGTAGTAGTGTAGATCTTTGGGCCTGAGTTTGTAGTTTCTGCATGTGTACTTTTGTGCCGAAGTTTTCATTTTTTTTTGTGTGTGTGCTTGCTTTTGTATGTGTTTTTACTTTGTTCATGCTACTTTTCTTTGTCGTAATGCCCATGTGTTTTGAGTAAGAGTTTCTTGGAAACATCAAACATCCTCTCTACTTTTCAAGTAGGGGTAAGGACTGCATACCCAAACTTTGGGAGTTTACTGGGTGTTGTTGTTGAATTGGTGTAATATCTTGGTGAGGCTATTCCCGAAGGCAATAGCCAACTCTTCATCAATAATTGGAGGAATTATATTATCACATAATCCCAATATATTGAAGTTATTCCCGATTTCAAACATTCTCATCTTCTGTTTTAGTGGTATGCCTAGTCTCTGAAGTGTTTGAATTGAGAGCTCCCACCTTCCTTCTCCAAATCAACTTTACTGTTTCTTCATGAGCTGGTTAAGCAACCTCATTTCCCATTTCTACAACTACTGTAGAACCCCATCATGTTTTTGTTTTCTCCGGTCCTTGACATTCAGATCATCATTGATTTTATTGTACTCACTTGTCCCATGGTTACATGGCTTATATCCCTTACCACTGCCTTGTCTTTATCTTGCTTCATTTTCTCTTCAACGTATATTTGTTTGGATTTAAGAAGTATAGTATCACTTTTTTTGTAAAACATCAAATATAGGTTTCGTAGAGAGATCCAGATGAGGATAATATGTGATTCAATATTAGGGTCGAATTCTTGTGTACATGATTTGCTTAAGGGCTACAGCCACAGTCCAAATTTTATTAGGGAAAATTCAGTTAGTGCATATCATCGATTCACCATCCATGATGATTATATCACCTGCTTTGATCATCTATGATTATGCACTGACTTTTAAGGACATGAAATCATGTGTTATAATTGGCCACTATTTCTTGTTTTTTATTATATCTTCTTATATTATTTTTAATGTGATAATTCTTTAAGGAACTAACGGTGCATATATGATTTATTATTTAGGTCAAGATGGTGGTAAAAGAATGGGTCTTAACTTTGAAAGGGTGAAGTAAGTGAATTTGTGTTTACTTGTTCTAATGCACTTTTATCATGACTTCCAAGTTCATTGAAGCTTGTGCGTACAGTAGGATTAGATTGTAGAAGTCTAATGGAAGTTATATGATGAAGACAACTAATGCAATCTTGCATAAAAGTAACCGATTAAGGACGTGTTAGCTTGATAATAATCGAGTTCCATGAGTTGCATGATACTCTCTCCGATTCACAATAAGTGTCGTTTTGGACTTTGGAGATACTGAGTTGTGAATTGTTTACAATATTGCAATTCGGCCATTCCCTTTTCAACCATTTAACTGTAGTTGGGGATACATTTTGTATAGGGGTTGTAAAGTAGAGTAAAAGTTTAAACATGGTATGAGTATTTAAATGGTACTCCTCCATCCCTAAATTTTCACTTTCACTATTTACAAAGTCAAACCATATCTTTTTTCTTTATTTATTTACTTTAAACATTTTGTTAGAATAACTTAATAATGTCACCTCTTGATTTGAATTGGAGTAGTTTTGAAATATGAAAGTTTTATTTTTTAATTTCACATCAATATTCAAAGGAATTGATTGAAAAAAAAAACTCGGGTCAAACCTTGCATATGTCCACTTAGAATCCTCATTATTATTATTATCATTTTTATTACTTTATTAAACATAGAGTCTTCATTGTAGTTATAGGGTGTGATAATATATATGCAGATACTGGCTATCAGTTGGTGCACAGGCATCCGAACCCGTTCAGCGTCTTCTTTTTAGAGCAGGTGTGTTGCCACCGCCGCCAATGACAGCTATGGGACGAAAAGGTGGGCCCCGAGACAACCGTCAGGTCGATCCTATGACGGGACGTGTGACATTTGAGAACTCAAAAAAAGACCAGGAAGCCCCTCTTGTCAAATGAAAGATGTTGGAAACAAGTGTGTTTGCTATATTGTATGGCTTTCTCTTTCTCTCTCTCTCTCTCTCTCTCTCTCTCTCTCTCTCTCTCTTTTTGATGTTTTTTTTGTTGTTTGCTTTCTTCACCTATTTACCAAATAGGCCAAAATACAATTAGATGGCTGGGGAATAATTCTAGTACCTTTAGTCTATACCTATGTTTTAAGATACTAGTTCTCTTTTTTTTTTCTTTCTTTCACTATTGTTACTTGGTGGTTTGATAATATATTAATATAGTGCCTTTGATCTTGGACTCGATCAGACCAAAATAATTTTGACACTTTTTTTTTAATGCAAATGGTGCATTTTAGCTGTTAAATGTGCCGTTTTATAAAAATAAAAATTGGTTGGGATTATTTTGGTCTAGTTCAGTTCAAGATTAGCAGAAGGCAAAACGACGTTCGATGGCGGGTTATTCTTGGAAGATGCAAACTTTGGATTATTTTTTGAAACACTTCAACACGTTTTTTTTTGAAAGACCACTCAAATTCGAGATTATCGGAAACTAATTTAGTAATTTACTAATTTACCGGCCAGATTTCTTATTGAAGGGGAGTGCAAGGCCGAGTGTCAATTACATTGAAGGACCAAGGTCGATTGAACCTTCCATGCTTATCACTTTGTTTGTACTCTCTTGCACTATGTTTGGCTCAAGGATTTTGGAAGGAAAAAAAAAAGAAAATGGTTTTCACTCATTTTCTTCGCCGAAATAGAAGAAATTTGGTTTTCTCTCTACTTGGTACATTTTGCCTCCTCATTTTCTTTTCCTTCCACTTTTCCTTTCTTTTCCCCTCTAACCAAACAAGAAAAATGATTTTCCACTTCATTTTCTTTTCTTTTCCCTTTTAAATTCCTTGAACCAAACATAGTGTTGAAATTGGACTTATAAATAGAGGTAGAAGTCATTGCAAATGATGCGCTCAATTCAGTTACAAGACACCTACTTTGTTATCGTATTTTCAAGCTATTTTTCGCATTACTTTTCATTTATTAACTCGAAAATCTGATTCGGTCTTCCACATCGAATCCTCTGATGGAATTTATTTCCATCAAATTCGTGCTTTCATTGAGAGCTTGAGAGGATACACTTGAAGTTATCTCCAACAAAACAAAAATGGTACAAACATGGAGCAACCTCAATGTCGAGGCGGAAGATAGTGGTGCAAGCGGCGGCGCTCGACCACCGAACACTTGTGACGAAGCCCAACGTATCGTAGATGGGATTAGAATCACCACCGAGAAGTTCAAAGCTGTCCTTGCTGCCCTCTCCACCTTGGGGGGGGGAGCACACGATGCCACTGGTCATGGAAGTCCTAAGAACGATGATGCAAGAAAAGAAGGTTCAATGGGCAAGAAGAAGATCACATGTTCCCAGAAGCAGAAGACCGGCAAGGCTAACGGGAAGGTACCCATGAAAGATGTGCTAAAAACCGTGGAGGGAGACAAGTCTTCGCACGAACACGCCTATGCCTTTCATAAGCTGGAGGACCCGAAACCTTAAAGGCAGCGGGTATTAGCATTTGACTGTTTAGGTGATAACTATTCATCCTGGCATGAAGATTTGAGGACTCGCGTCACAAGTCGACGTAACGAGTCCTTGACCACCTCAAAAGCTTGTCCCCTTCCTCGAAGCAAGGAACTTATCTTTGTCGGAGGGGAAGGGATGTGGGAGAGTTATGAGAAACCATTGGGGTGTTGGATAAGAGGGTGCAAGCCAAGATTACCAATTTCACTCACATACTTTTCATTTTTTTAAAAATCCACTTCTTAAGATATTTAAAAAATTTTGTAAAATTAATACAGAAACTTTTCTTTTGACTTAATGGTAAGAAGCTTGCTCTACAAGGTTCATATGGAAGTTCACCTAAGTTCGAGCTCTAACGAAAGCATTCACTCATTGTAGAGCATAAAAAAATACGAAGTACGAAATACTCCATCCGTCCTAAAATGATTATCGTGGTTCGATTTACGAGGTTTGACTGAATTATTTTTAATTAAATTTATTTGATTGTATGTGTAATTAAAAAATAAAAATTATATATTTCAAAACTACATGAAAACATCTAAAAAAATAAAATGTTGTACGACTATATTATTTGTATTAAATAATTAACGAAAATAGATTAAGAAAATGATAGTACTTTGACCATGTAAATAGTATCTAAGAAGAACATTTTAAGACGAAGGAAGTATCAAGCACGTAAAACTTCAAATAATTGGCACAAATCAGTCTAACTTGTTAAACATTTTTTTAACAACATAACCTCTCAAAATTCAACATGAATAAAATTCAAACATCCCCACCCCTTCCATCACCACAAAAAAAGTAAGAAAAATTCAAAAATAAAATAAAAAATAAAAAAATAAAATGAATTGTAAAAAGGGAAGTGATATACATTTGGGGTACACATTTAGTGTACCCTAGGCCCTAGCATATCCCATAAAATGATTGTACTTTTAATCTCCCTATATATCTCATCAAAATACATAAAATTACTGAAATACCCAATGGCCCTCCCATCCTGTTGAGCTGCGATATAAATAGCCTCTGAAGGTGCTAGGTTTTGAGAGGCGGAAGGAGACAGCAAAACGAGCGCACAAAGTGGGCTTAAATCTAGGCGGTTTATCTCTCTTCGTTCTCGCCTGACACGCTAGGGTTTTAGTTGTTGATCTCCATTCTTCCTTCCTTCATCAGCCATGAGCGACGCCAGAGAAGGTCCCGATATGTCCGATCTCCGTGTTGGTGAGTTTCTGAGGCTCAATACTCAAAAATATGTGTGTGTAGCCGTGCTTTTTCGTTTGCGAAATCTGTATTTTTGTCTGATTTACGTTTTGCGTAGCTTCGACTGTTCTTTCTACTTCGTCATTCTACGAAGCTGCTGTTATTTACCACAGCATTGGGTTTATTTTGACTGAATTTTGTTTGCGCAGCTTTGAATTCGGAGGAGAAAGCTGATCTTGTCAGTGCTCTCAAAGTAAGATTTCCTGTTATGATTTTTTAGTTAATATGATTGTATTATGGCCTTTTTTCCTAACGTAATCATACATTTATGAGTACTTTTTTTCTAAATAATCTCAATGTGTATGAATATTGCAGCATAAGCTTCAGGATCTTACTGGGAAGCACTCTGTTGAGATTGAGAACCTGTCTCCTAATGTGAGAAAGCGTGTTGAGGTTCTCAGAGAAGTCCAGGCATGTAAATTTGATGCTCATTTTTTATTGGATTTAGGATTCTTCCTTATGATGTGAATGGTTATGCATATACTAGGTTTCTAATGGCTCAACTGTTTATTTTGAACCAATTGTTTAAGATTGTACTATTGATTGGGATAGTGGGAGGATCCCAATCTTGTATGGGATGAGAAGACTTAAACTAACGAACCATCTATTTAAATTAATTAATCTAATTTACTATACCCAATGTCAAAATGATTCTGCTGTTCTTGTAATATTTAATGTAGCATCAGAAAAAAGTGTATATGGTGGTCTTCTCTTAAATAACCTCCCTACTCGGGGTGAAGTTCATTGAGCCATCCTCCTCCCTATAACCTACCCTAGAGCTGGATATACTTGGGTTGGGTTGGTAAATAAAGTCTGTATGTTCAACAACTACACTTCAATTTCCATACAAGTTGTAAATGTTACATCCATTTCAGGCATATGAAGTGCCATTTTATGTTTTTGCATAATATTGCCTCTCCTGGTTCCAGACATATGGGTTCTGAAACTTAGAAGGCATTGGTGTATGACATGTGGTCTGCTTTCTGCTCACATTTGAAAATGAAGGCACTAATTTAGCTCATCATTCACTCGAGGGATCTCAATGCAATTCCTGTTGCATTCAATGTGCTGAATACTTATTTTGAACATTATTACTATTGTCATTGTTCATTTCTTTGCATTCTCAGGCTCAACATGATGAACTGGAAGAGAAGTTCAATGAGGAGAGAGCAGCACTTGAAGCAAAGTATCAGAAGCTTTATCAACCACTGTATTCAAAGGTCCGTAACTAATTGAGATTGTTGTACAACATGCATATAATGTTTCATATGCTAAAAAGCTTGTGGCTAAAAACAGAGATATGACATTGTAAATGGAGTTGTTGATGTTGAAGGGGATGTATCTGAAAGCCCTGCTGCAGATGGGGGTAAGTCATGATGCTGGCATGCCTTTTATATCATTCTTTTGCTTTCAATAGCTAAACATTTTCCTCTGCATTTAGAAAAAGGAGTCCCTGAGTTCTGGCTTACTGCAATGAAGAATAATGAAGTGCTATGTGAAGAGGTTAGACATTAGAGAGTTGTGCTTTGCTTCATTTATATATTTTTACCAATTTGATGGATCCACATACATCTTTTGTTATATCTATATTCTTATGTGTTCCAGATAACAGAGCGAGATGAGGAGGCCCTCAAATTTTTGAAAGACATTAAGTGGTCCAGGATGGAAGAGCCAAAGGGATTTAAACTTGAATTCTTCTTTGACACTAATCCATTCTTCAAGAACTCTGTTTTGAAAAAAGTCTATCACATGATTGATGAAGATGACCCAATTCTAGAGAAAGCAATTGGGTAGAGTTTCAGCCAATGATAATCTGTTTTTTTGTTATGTTTTACTATTTATTATTTGTTAACCAGCCTCATTCTTTATACATACTGGTTCGTAAATGTATTTTTATTTGTGCTTTTATTAACTTGCAATCATATATGAACCTTTTCCAGCACTGAGATAGAATGGTATCCCGGAAAATCCCTGACACAGAAGATACTGAAGAAGAAGCCCAAGAAGGGATCAAAGAATGCTAAACCTATTACTAGAACTGAAAAGTGTGACAGTTTCTTCAATTTCTTTAGTCCGCCTCAAGTGCCGGAGGATGAAGATGATCTTGATAGAGATGCTGTAAGAGCCGAATTGCATTTTTTTTGTATGCTGTTTTTATTCTTTTGTAAAATGATTATTCATTCATTTTTCTACAGGCAGATGAGCTCCAGGCTATGATGGAACAAGACTATGAAATTGGGTTAGTCTAGTCTGGATCAAATAGACAAATGCATTGTTGAATCTACACATTTCCTTCTATTTTGTGGTTATCATTTGCCAACTATCTAATTTAACATTATTGTGCAGGTCAACTATCCGAGACAAAATTATTCCACATGCAGTGTCTTGGTTCACGGGTGAAGCTGCTCAGGAAGAGTATGGATTGGAAGATGATGAAGATGAGGACGATGATGACGAAGATGATGAAGATGACGACGATGAGGAGGAAACAGATGAGGATGAAGATGAGGATGAAGATGCTGTCGTCAAGAAAAAGGTATTAAGAATATTAGTAGCTCGATGAACATGTAGATAATGATTGTTACTGTGTACTGTTTTGGCTTGCTGGCCTTGTATTTGTTACTAATCCTCATGGTTTATGTGATTTTTATGCAGACGCCTGCCTCAAACAAGGTATATTCTCAATTTTAGTTTGTGTAATTCATGATTTCTTGCAGTTTCAATAACCTTTGGTCTTGCATGACGGGTGTGCCCTTTTGATTATTGTCTAAATTTTGCACCAAATAAACAGAAAGCTGGAAGAACAAATGCAGTTGATGGCCCGCAGGGCGAGAGACCTCCGGAGTGCAAGCAGCAGTAATGCTGATGGTTATGTTATGAAGGAGAAGTGGCCTTGTATTGTGTCGGTGCTTTCGATGTCTTGCGGTGATGAAATTTTGATCCTATGTTTCGATTTTTTTTTTGTCGGTATATCTATCTGTTGTCATCCTTGTGTTTGGGTTCTTTTGTCAGTCATGTGTTTTTTCTGTTGAGACAAGGAGAGAGTAGTTTGGTGGTCTCTTGTGGAGTAAAACGTTTTTCTTGGATTCACGGTCTGGATCTATCATTACGTTTGTATTATATTTATACCTATATTATCAATGTTTATTCTATTATTACTGCTCTCCGGCTCTTGCTTTCCATGAGTTATCCTTCTGTGGAGGAAAATTGTAATTTCGGCCGAAGTATGCCAAAACTATGATTATTGGATAATTCAATTTCATTAAAATTTTATTATTTCATTTTTTAATTTTGCAATAATTTTTAAATAATTTGGAAATATGCCAAATGTCAAACAAAAATTGACAAATTAATTGAGATTAGAGTGTTAAAACTTAACTATTTTAAAAAAAAGTGTTGAAACTATTTAAATAAGTCTCAAATGTCCTGGAGTCATAGGAAACTATTTCTGCCTGTTTTGTTATTTTTTTCATGCTACAATTGGTAATTTGAGTATTTTATGTGAGTCTTACCACGCTTTGATCAAACGATCTTACCATTGTTGCCTCAAATTTTGCACTAGATGTTTTACGAACATTAATGACATTAATGAGTGGAGTATCACATTGGTCATTGTGCACGGTTAAATGTGTGATTGAGATACATAAATAGCAAGTTTGTGTAATTTGTGTCCCAATAGTTTGTGACTCTAGCATTACTCAATTTTTTTATGGAATCTTTTACACCATGTTTTTCCAGACACTATGCACCATATTGTATGACGGGTTTTAGGAATCCGGGCCTAGAGTAGAGTAGGCTTAGGAGAGCCGTGAACGGGCTGAGCGTAAGTAGTGTGATATTAGTGTGATAGTGTGCCCTTGCTCTTGAATTGGGGAGAGTATTTATATGGGTGATATGTCTTACATAGTTGTTTCGTAGCTGTTGTAATGGACAAGACCCATACTAGACCCATTGGGTATGGGACCCCTTATCTATTGTACTAGAAATATATTGTCTACTTTGTACATGCGTTATACTATTACATGCACTCTACAGATATATTTTACAAAGGTATAATTGCCTATGGTGGATCTGTGATCTTGTAGTTCGACCCCGAGGGTTGATCGCATTCATCTGGCCGTTGACCTAGAGTATGATGCATTGTGCTTAGGTGGTGTTCTGTGCTTTTCGGTTTCTTTCGCCGGGCCTCTCTTGTTGGCTTCGGTAATGTCTGGGGCTGATATCGCTTGTGTAGGGTATCCATAACTATAATATATTGAATACTTCATTTGTCTCAAATAAAATTGTTATTGCAATTTACGTTCAATTTAACAAATTTGAAAGTTCATATAAAACTAAAAAAATATGTAGTAAAAGTTATATTCCGGTCAAGAAAAATAAATTAATAAAACTATTTAAAAATTACCAAAATGTACTATTTAATTTTATCGAGTAATAAAAAACAAGCAAAATTAATAAACTACTCCCTCCGTCCCATGAAACATGGGATGTTTTACTTTTTGAAGAGATTTAAGGGAGTGTATTTTGGTATTGAATTTTCAAAAATGTCCTTTGATGTGATGGGTAAAAGTATGATTTGATGGGTAAATTATTAGTAAAAAGGTATGATGTGATAGGTAGGGTATGAAAAAGTAATGGGTAAAAGTGACTTTTTAATAGAAATGAGAAGTGTTTTATGAGACGAATTAAAAAAGAAAGGAGAAAGGTTTTATGGGACGGAGGGAGTATGTTCTTGCAAATAAAACAAGAACCTACCTAGTGTGGATTTGGCAGTACTTAGCAAGAAGCCTTTTTTTCCTACACCCATCCATTTAATTTCTCCAATCTTCTACACCTACCATATATATCCACCACGCCATCATTCAACAGAGATGGATTCAAGCCCAGGTTTGACTTTTCTGCAACTCTAATCTCACTGCTTTGATCATATACATATATATATGTTTATTATTACTCTCCCACTCCCAGCTCTCTCATTATTTAAGTTTTCATTTGCATAGCTTGAAGAGAAATGTGAAATGGTGTGTTTCAGATTTATGGAGATGATAGTAGAACTCATTCTTTTTTTTTTTTTAATAAAAAAATGTGATTTCTTTAATTTTGTGAAGTTAATGCGAAGATAAATTAGTTTTCAAAATATTTTTAAGAATACCAATTTTGGAATCTTAACCATTAGAAGTGATTTTGTTTTTGGGAAATTAATTTGCTTTCTATCAAACAATGGAAAATGTGGGGAAGAAAATCATTATTCTCCCTTTGATGGGAGAAAATGTTTTCCTTGGAAATCATTTTTCACTAACTAATAAATGTGCAATGTGAATGCTCTAACGATGCAGGCGTTACGCAGCAGAAAATTAGCATACCAAACAAGGACAATGACAAACTTGTGGGTGTGCTGCATAACACTGGATCTCCGGATATCGTGGTGCTGTGCCATGGTTACGGGTGCACTAAGGTCTGTTAATTGTTATTGGTTGTTTGAAGTGACCGCGCCTGCATGTGAGAGGAAGTGTTATACTTTAAAAAGTTCTTATGGGCTTAAACCTATAAGCTTTAGCTTTTGATTGACATACTTTCTTGACATTATTATTATTATTAAGTTCAATTTGTCCACGGCTAGTTCGATAACATATTTTTCACCCCCTCATTGGTTTGGGAACAATTATTAAGGCTTGCTTGCTCGTTGTCTTTATTTTTTGCGCATTTCTACGTCTCTGCAGGAGAACGAAATAATTGTTAACTTAGCTTCTGCATTGGCAAAAGAAGGAATAAGTGCATTTCGCTTTGACTTTGCGGGAGTTGGGTATGAATCTTGCACTCTATGTAAAGCTTATGATCATCGTTACTCAAAATAATTATCAAACTTAGGAGTTCATGAGACTATTTTCCTTTACCTTTCGAAGTAGCCCGTATGTATAGTACGTGCTTTTCTCAAAGTAAAGAGTAACACTTCTATGTGCGATGGTTTGTGCTATTTTGGTTTCTTTGTTCGTACTTTTGTAATTGAGTCGAGAGTCTCTTGAAAACAACCTCTCTACTACCTAGTAGGGGTAAAGTCCGCGTACACATTCATCTGATTGAGGCTGTCTCATAGAAGTTCTTCAACATTATTGTCAATTTTCTTTAAAAAGAAACATAAGTTTGTTGCAAAATACAATGGTTTTCTTCTTTCATACGATTGTGAGTTGCTCATTAGAATAGGAATTGCTTGTCAGGGAAAGCGAGGGCACGTTTAAGTATTGCCGCTTCCAGGGAGAGGCTGAAGATTTGCATTCTGTGGTGGAATACTTCACTGCGCAAAAGCTCAAAGTAGCTGCCATTGTTGGACATAGCAAAGGTGTTTCCACTTGACCAAAGTACAATAAGCTTTTCTGAGTCTTATGGTCTGTGAAATACAAGTCCATTGCATCTTCCATTTCAGTTTATGCATTTTCTTTTTTTCTTTCTTTCTTTTGATAGCTCGAATCTCGCGCTTCACCCTCTCAGACCCAAATGTTCCTGTTCTAAAGTATGAGTCTTACCCAGATAGAACTTACATGACCTTATATTGCAGGAGGCGATGTCGCACTGCTATATGCTTCAAAGGATCAGTACGTTCATACCGTGGTCAATGTCTCGGCTCGCTACGATGTGCATAGAGGCTTTGATGTGTTTTTTGGAAAAGACTACATGCAAAGACTCAAGACCGACGGATTTATACGTGTCGTTGACAAGGATGGTTTGTCCATTCCCTTGAAACTTGGGCTTTTTTTTTTTGCAATACCCTTACCCTGTTTTCAAGTTTCTTTCCCAAGAAAGAATTGCATTTTACTAACAATAATGGCTGGTTTATAGGAGTCGAACACCGTGTTACCGAAGAAGAAATGATGGATCAGCTAAGCACAGACATGCATGAAGCATGTGCCCAGCTTGACAAATCATGCAGGTAAAAAAGTATATATAAGATCGTTTCTGTGCCTATAACCACAAACTCGAACGCGTTTGGACTACATGTAATTTGTGTGCAGGGTACTGACCATTCATGGATCGAAAGACGAGATCAATCCGGTTGAAGATGCTTTAGAGTTTGACAAGGTCATACCAAACCATAAGTTGCACATAATTGAAGGAGCTGACCATTTTTACAAATCACATCAGACTGAACTGGTTTCCATTGCCATCTCCTTCATAATGGAAGGTTTGAAGTAGAACTCAAAGCGCTCTGTTACGTCCGAAAATCGTGAATATATTCCTAATAGCGTTTGCGGTTGCGTTCGACGAAGATTACCATGCAATGCCTCTTTTATGTATATATATATGGAGCAATAAAAAAGGACATGATGATCATCACGTTTAAATTCAAGAGATCAAAGACTCTTTAAATTTCATAAGAAGTGTTATGTGATCAAAATAAGTACCTTAGCATAAAATAAACAACGAGGTTGTTGAGGCTGCAGACAAATGATATGCTCTGATGAATTGATGATATGTACAAGGGAGAATAAAAAATCTATACATGAAATTAAATTATTTAAATTTCAAATGTTAATTACGAGTATTTGTATATTTTTTAAAATATGAAAATTATAATTCCATGGACCTAAACTCTATCTAAATTGCTACAAAATATGGAGTATTATTTTTTGAGTACTATTGACTCGATTAGAATTTAATGTAGTATCTCTTCATACTTTTTTTTAATCTAATGAGCTATAAAGAGTCATTGCTTTTGCATCCATTGAGATTCAAACCGAGATGAACTTTCTCATAAATCTTGGAGAGTAAACTTCTTATCACTCAAGTCAGAGAGGAATCTTTCTAATTTATGTTGGAATGACTTTTTATGAGTATTTATTCTTGTTAAGAATGAGTAGTTTACATGTGATTAGAACTCACAAAAATTGACCTTACTTATTTTTTACCCGAGATCCAATCCAAGAATACCCGATTTTGAACAAAGATTTTACTGACTGAATCTGAAATGACCCGCTAAAAATGCGTCAAACCTGACCGAACATGATCGACTCGCTAACGCAAGAGTTTTTCAAAATCATGTACTCCCTCCGTCCCAAAAAGTTTGTCCTATTTTGACTAAAGTAGTAAAATAAGGAGAGATATTTTGGTGTTGACTTTCCAAAAATATCCTTGATGTAATGAGTAAAAGTACGATGTGATGAGTAGATTATTAAGAAAAAAGTATGATGTGATAGTTAGGGTATGAAAAAGTAAGGGATACTATAATGTGACAGACTTTTTGGGACAGAAGGAGTACTATAATATGTAAAATAATGTATTAAAAATAAAATTTTATTTTTAAAGAGTTTTTAATGATATCACATGATTATCTTACACCATTTTCAAAAGTGGTACATGTTTAGTTTTGTATATTATTCATAATATTGTCAAATATATCTAAAAAATAATTAAAATCCAAAACGAAATATTCTAAGTGCGTTAAAGTATGTATTTTTAAATAGTTCAATTTTTGAATTATTAGAATCAAAACAAACTTTATTTTAAATGTATCATAGGAAATATTTTATGTTGTGACTTTTTTGTCCAACAGTGACACTTTTTAACTATAAATTAAACATATTTTTAATAAATAAATGTTACGGAGTCTAAAAATTTGATATATCAAAACTATATAATAAGATAAAATCAATTATATTGAATTTGGATCGGTTATTTCTAATAACTGATTCAAATAACCTTTTGAATCGGTTATTAGAAATAACTGATCCAAAAGCTAAGCGGTACGCGATTTTTTTTCATTTACATCGCTTGTTTTGGTTACCGATGCAAATTGGGAGATTTATTTAGTCGTTTTTGTAGTAGTGACATTTGTTTGATCAACTATTCTTTAATATAATTAAAACATCATATAAATAAATTATGTATTTTTTAATTTAATCATCTAAAAACTACAAACTATAAATTTTCTAGTGGTTGAATCATCCCATAAAATTATTACAAAAAAAGGAGAAATATCAAAGTAGTACTAAAACATTGAAAATATACCAAAATATGACTTCCATGTTTTTATTCCCAAAATAGGACTTACGTTACCAAACATGGTCATATAAATTACCAAAAAAGTATAGTAATTTGCACATGTGCACTGCCACATTACCACAATGCAAAGTCACATTACCACAGTGCAAAGTCCTATTCTGGGAAAAAAACCTGAAAGTCCTATTTTGGTACTTTTCTCTATGTTTTAGTCCTATTTAGGATGATTTCTATACAAAAAAATTGCTACCAGATACCCCTAGTTTTGTGGTAAGAGATACCGGGTACTTCCAATTTTGAAAATATACTCTCAGGGTCTCAGGTACCCTAAATTATAAAACAATATACCAAGAGGGGATTTCCCATCCATTCTCCATCCATCCCAATTTTTCCGTCAAATTCATCATCACCATATCATCATCACCATCATCATTAGTCCACCACCATATCCATCTTGTTCTTCCTCCTCTTCTTCTTTTTCTTTCTTCTCCTCCTCCTCCTCCTTCCACTCACGATCTTCCAAACCCCAACCCCTCACCCTCATTTCTTCTTCTCCTTCTATTATTATTACTATTATTATTGATAATAATATTATTGATATTATTATTATTGTTGTTATTTTTATTTTTATTATTATTACTATTACTATTATTATTAAAAATAATCACCAAGGTTCAAGTGACATTGGAGGGTAATGTCATCGGATGACCCGGGGGGCGCTCCTTGTTGGAATGCATGAGTTCAACCCTTTCTGTGTTGTTAAGTGTTGACTCACAGGTTTTGATAATTGACAAACACAATTTATTCAAGTCAAGATCAAAGTGCTACAACAACAAACATGAAGACTTGAAGTGCCATTCCTTGAAGTATTCAAGAAGGTGCACAGGATTTTATTGGAGTCCGAAACGCGTTCGGAGCGCCTAACGGAAGACTCGGAGGAGTAGAAGATTTCCGAAGACTTTTTATTTATTTGAGTCGTAGAAATTTTTGTAAGGATGACAAAAATATCTTCTCTCCAAAATTATTTTTATGAGTTAAAATAAAAATTATATTTATTTTTGGAGTCAGTTGAAAAATCTTTTTAACTGTTCAAAATAGTTTTATTAAGTCAGTCAAAAAAGTTTGCCAAACATTTATCAAATATTTATTTTGATGATATAAAATATTTTTGGTAAGCAAAAATATTTTATTCAAATATTTTTCCTGTACATCGTTTGACACACAAAATATTTTTGGGACTCAATTTCTAAACCAAAATTCTTTTTTTAATTCAAATTTTGAATTTGAATTATGTAGGTTGATTGGGGAGCCTTTTGATATGATTTCCTTGTCCAAAACAAAACATTTAACTCCAAACATTCATCCCACTCGCACACATGCTTTGGGTCCTCGTGTTTGGGCTCTGTCCGTCATTGGATCGATCCTTTCTTGTGGATCGATCATATTGCTTTGCGCTCTGGGATTGGGATCGATCCATCTACCTGGATCGATCCGCCGAAGGCTTGCGAAAATCCGTCTCATGGTTTTTGGTTCCAGAGGATCGATCCCCAGCCTTGGATCGATCCCCCGTGCTTTTGACACAAACTTATTTTCGATCCTTTACTCCAGGTGATCGATCCTCTCCCCTAGATCGATCTCCAATGGTCCAATCTGTCAAAATCAGCCTTCCCCACTTCCAACGGATTTATTTCTTTTTCCTCTATTTAAACACTCTTCCTTGGTCATTTTTTTAAGGAAGAAACACTCCAATACTCCNGTTGAAGAAGATTTTTCTTCTTGTTGTTCAAGACTTATGTGACTTAAGTCTTGGTTGTGAAGTCTTGTAGAGGGCATATCTACGAGCGGTTGTGTCGAGGCTTGTGGGATTCAAGTTCTCGAGTTGTAAACGGTTTGTTAAGCACCCGTAAGCTTAACGAAAGTAGTGGTAGCTTCGAGAGAGTCTCTCGGGGAACTGGACTAGCCACGAGGTGGTGAACCAGTATACATCGGTGTGTTCTTTGCCTTCTCTCTTTTATTTCCGCTGCACTTACGTTTATATTATTAATCCTGCGAAAATCGGTAAACATTCTCAACAACTCTATTCACCCCCCCTCTAGAGTTGCACGCCTTGTCTAACACTCCTCTGTTCGTAAAATTGACAGTTCTTATCCCCCTAACCCCCCGGTAAACCCCCCACCCGGCCCTGACCCGAACACCCCCCCCACCACCTTCAATTACACCCCACAAGCCGATTTTGACTTTGGAGTCAAACCTTCCCGTAAAAATAAGAGTGAAACTATTATATAGTTTTTTTAATAATAATTTAAGAAGAATAAGAGAATATTACTTCATAATAATAATAAATTAAGAAGAAAATAATACTTTGTAATAAATAATAATAATAATAACAATAATGATAATGATTATAATAATAATAATAAGAATAATAATAATAATAATAATAATAATAATAATAATACGTAGTCATAATAAGAATGATGCTTTTTTTAAAAACCAAAAAAATGATGATGATGATGATGATGATGATGATGATGATGATGATGATAATAATAATAATAATAATAATAATAATATAAGGAGAAGAAGAAGAAGAAGTGTAGGAAGAGGAGGGGGGAAGTACGTAAAGATGGATATGGTGGTGGAATGATGATGATGATAATGATGATGATGATGAACTTGACCGAAAAATTGAGATTGGATGGAGAATGGATGGAAAATATTTTTTTATAATTTAGGGTACTTGGGAGTATATTTTCAAAATTGAAGGTACACGGTAGTTCTTACTACAAAATTGGAGGTGCATGGCAGTAATTTTTTGAAATTATTATATATACTCGATCGAACAATCAAATTATATCTAGCATTTTTCTCTATTTTAACGCTTTTATAGTTCTATCATCTATTCTTTTATAAAATTTAATTGTTATTTTTAAAATATTTTTTGTTTTAAGTTTTAATCAATAATTAAATAAGCAGAATCAAAACTAATTTCATTTAAACGTATCATAAATAAATATGAAATTTATGTAGAGGTGAAAAGAGAATCTTACTCATTACTCTTTTCGATCTAAAAAAATTGTCACATTATGCAAAACGAAACAAAACTTCTATTTTTTAAAATTCATTTTATTGAAAGATTTTTATTGAAATAAAATATAAAAACTACATATTTAAAAATTAGATCAAAAATTTAAAAAAAAGAGATAACATCAATATTTTTATATTAAATAATCAATGAAAACAAACAAATAAACAAAAGTTTTCTTGATTTTTGAAGAGTGAAATGTGACATTCTTTTTTGGACGGAAGAAGTACTTGAAAGTATTGTTAAAAGATACTCCCTCCGTTCCACAAAACCATTCCCATTTTGACTTTTGGCAAAAATATGGAAAGTGTAATTTTGATTAACTTTCCAATTTTGCCCCTGATGTGATGG